TAGTCAATCACACTAATTACATCATATTAGCGCAATGTAAACTAGGGATGACATCCACATGGATAAAAATCATCTCTGATTAACATATAAACACACACATACAAGTATATACATACATATGTATATCTATTAGTGCCAATTGGCACACTACTGTTTTTGTTCCTTTCTCTTATCATAAAAATTTGGTTATTCGACATAGATTTCAATGATCATAAATATTGATAATGCTAAATTCAGAAGTTACAGATAACTTCTGTTGTAAACTTAATTTTCTTATCATGTCATAAAAGTTTATTTAAATAATTGTGTTTTTTTTTAGAATAGAATCATTTCAAAAACTATAGTGTTAAACAAAGTTTGAAAATCGTTTTTCTGATTTACGTTCATATGGTCGTCCAAAATCAATTTAACAGAAGACTAAAAATCATCATTATCATGAGTGGAATAGATATCATCAATTTGAACTCATAATTACCAACATATTCTACATCAATTAATCGTCCATCTGACGTTGCTGTAACATTGTATTCGAACATAATATCTTTAACTTTTTGTAATGTTGAGTTTGTATTACATAATACTTGATTACAGTAAATAATAAAGGCGGCTGAACTAGGCGTTTGAAATATATTGATGGATACTACGCCGCCTAGTGTTCTGTCATCACATGAACGATCTATTTTATTCTGAAATATGTTATGTGATATAACACATGAACGTCGCTGTGTTAATGTACTACATTGACGTTCATTTTCATTCGAATCATAACAACTAATATTAGAATTATTTGATGTTAGAATAGGACTTTTGATGAAAGATGTAAGTTTCTCTCGAATTTCTGGATTATCAGCTTGTCGTTGTAACATTTCAATTGATGCATTTTTTGCTAATTCTTGAGCACAATCATCTTTATCATTACATGCATATTTGATGTCATAGGTAAAATAGAGTAAACCTGTCGAGAGTAAGATTAAACTTGTCTGATGTAGATTTTCTATATCAGTAATAACATTTGACGAAGCAGCTTCAAACTCAATGATGTAGTCTGCAACACCATATGTAAAGGAGAGCGAAGCACGACATTTGCCAGCTGTTCCACTTTGTTAACAATTACCAGAAAAATTAAATGGTTTGGTTAACTGGAAGGTACACAAAAAATTGTAAAACCATGAAAGGGCGTTCCAAGAAACAAAAAAAAAAAAGAAAAATGCAATGAATATTCGACTGAGTAACATGATGACAGAACAACAAAAAAAATGCTCTGATGATGAAAGACTTTATTATACTATGAGTATAAATACGTCTGCTTTTAATTTCTCTGCAGAAACTTTACTGACATACACAAAAAAAAATATTTATCTTATTTAAATACATTAATATGATAATGATGATTTTTCTTCACATATGCGTCAATTTTTTTACCAGTGTGTACGTGCACTATCAATAACTTGAGCAGAAAAAGAACAGAACAGAAAGAGAAACAACGTATCATTATGTCAATATAATACTGTAAAAGAAATATAGTAATAAAAGACAAAGCAAAGAAAATACAGAAATCATTTGGCAGACTGAAGGAGTTCAAACGTAATAAAATGACTTGTACTTATTTGTTCCGCATTTTTTTGTAAATGTTCATTATGATTTATTGTTTCATAATCATCATCCAACCAATATTCTTTTGGAATATAAATTTCATTTGTACATCTATATTCATCATCTTCACATTCATTGAATTTTTATCTCTCATAAAAACCTTCCTTTTAATCATCCATGCATTGCTATTTATCTACATACACAATCGAAAAGATGGATTTAAAACAATTATGAATTCTTCCATTTTTTCCATCAAAAATACATCTCTCATCCAAATACATTCATCCTGAATTGTATGTCAATGTCGTATAACATGATCGATTATTGTGAAGCTGACTACCGGGATAGATTCTACCGATAGCCATGTTAGAGTGGTTTAGTGGTTGGAACTTTTTTCGAATTAAGTCATTGAAAGAAGTACTATCACCATAAAATTTGTATTCACAAAATTTTCTAAATAAAGCAGAATTCGTACAATTACATAGGTACTTATCTCCAACATTAAGTGAACTATTGGATAAATATTTCGAATAAAGATCAGTTCGCTCGATATTTGAACTCCATTGTAAGATTGATAGTTAGGTTAATTGTTTTTTTCTTAAATTCGAACTGTGCTCTACACTTATTGATATGTGAGTGGAGATCAAAAGAATATTAACATCCACATCATCAAGATTGCTATCGCATGTATCAGCAATTCACATATGTCATTCAACTTAGTTATTGTCGATGGAAAATTCTGGACAAAACTTGGATGGTATCGAATAGCTCATGATATAAGTTTTTATGGTCATGTACGGTGTCTGTTGTCTACTTTTGAGTAGAAATTTTAGTGTGTTGATTATAAAAAAAATACGTTGATGTCGTATAGCACTTTTATATCAAACTAAGATGAAAGACTTTTTTCAGCAAATGATATTTGCTCATACAACTATGTTTCATTCTTTTTATCATGTCATTCACTATTCACATCCTGTCACAGTCTATCATTCAAAAGACTTACTGCACCACGAATGGAAATGTTTGAGTATGTGTATTGTTCGAATTTTATGGGTTATTAATGATGCTACTAGATTCTATATTTATAATCAAGCAAATATTTTGATAAAATTTAATTCATACACTGTACAGTATAAATCAACTTAGACAAAGTATGAAAACATATTTAATGAATGGATAATAAATATAGTTCAATTTTGAATGAAATATTCATGATCATTTGTGATATAATTTTATAATAGAAAGAATAAATAACGTTGTATTTGTACAACTTTTACAACATCTATATATTTGTAACATGAGACTAAGTTCAATAGTTCGTATCTTTTATAATGACATAAACGTATGATTGTCTTGAGATGAATCATAATTGCTAATTTGAGAAGTTACAAAGTAATTCTAACAAGAGACTGATTTGTGTTCTACGTTGTTATTAATATGACATGTATACTTTTGAAATAGAA